TCATGAGAGACAGAGGGAGAGAGAGAGGCAGAGGGAGAAGCAGGCTCCCAAGGAGCAGGGAGCCCGATGCAGGACTCGATCCCAGGACGCTGGGATCATGACCTGAGCCGAAGGCAGACGCTTAACCATCTGAGCCACCCAGGCGCCCTAAACAAATAAAATCTTAAAAAAAAAAAAAAAAAGTTTGGTCCAAAGCCAGAACTGCTGGTTGGAAATGGAGATGTCGGAGGCCCACGTGACGCATTGAGTTGGGGAAAATGGTCTCCGTGTCCTGTTGTCTTTGTAGAGGAGTGGCGGCGTCCCTTCAGGCAGCCCTGGGTACTGCCTTTCTGTTCATCCACCTGGTGAGCCCGTGTTTCTCTAGCAGATCTGTGTTTGTCTCAGGGACAGATGCTCAGTGTGGCAGTGATAGTGGGCTGGAGGTGTGACCAGAAGGGGGCGAGGCCAGGTCTCCCGAATAGCGTAGCGGAGCCATAAAGGCTGGACATGAAGGCTGCTTCCTATGTTCTGGGGACGCAGAGTGAAATTGGCTGTCCAGGCCCGTCATAGTCACGTCCCAAGCCTTCTTTTTATGATGGCATTTTTTCTGTGATTATATGAGTAAACGGTAGTAGAAATGAAATAAACGAGATTTTCTTTACAAAAAGTTAATGTTTAAGATGTTTCAGTGTTTGCTCTCAAAGAGATCTTAAAGTCTGTACTCTGTTAAAGTATCAAAATTACTTGAATTATTTTGGAAATGTGCACAACGATTGTATTTCGACTTGGGACACTTTAAATCATTATAAACCTGTGCCACTGACAGGTTTTTCCTCCAGCAGGTGACATCGACTACAGCGCGGTGCTGCTTGGGATGCTCGTCGTGCAGGACGTGCAGCTGGGCTTGTTCATAGCTGGCATGCCCACCCTTATCCAAGCTGCAGCCGGTACCTACTCCAGGTCAGTGTGCCACGTGGCTTCATCGCACAGTCTGGGCTTCTAGTTTCCCATCATCTGTTTATAAAGATGCTATTTAATGCCTTTTTCTGAAGAGATGTTCAGAGCTTGCGTGGCGCAGACTGAGAGCTTAGACTCTGGAGTCTAGCTGCCTGGGCTCCGGCTCCATCTGTCAACCTTGGGCAAGCTATTTAACCTCTCTTCCTCAGTTTTGTCATCTAGAAAGTGAGGGTGAGGTCACTCCCTAACAGAGTAGTTAGGATTAAATGGGTTACAATATAAATGTGCTTAGAACAATGCCTGGAACATGGGGTGTGTGTGTGTGTGTGACCATGTGCGTGATTGCGTGTGCACATGTATGTGATTGTGCACGTGCGTGAGCATGCATGCACGCCATCATTGTGGGGATCTATCATTGTTAGTATTGTGTGCGTGATTGCGTGTGTGCATGTATGTGATTGTGCGTGTGCATGAGCGTGCATGCTCACCATCATTGTGGGGATTTATCATTGTCAGTGTCTCCACCGTTACCATTTCGCCTGATCCTTCTTTCTCTTCTTCCAATAAAATAATACCAAAACCTGAACTGCACTTGCTTAGGTTCATGTGCAGAGAGAAGTCAAATTGAAAAGTGGAAAAATAAATGTATCCAGAAAGTCATAGGTTACATGGTGTATAGAACCTATTACAAGAACACCAGCCAGAAAATAAATCACTTGGAAAATGTAAGGAGCCTCATAAAATTTAAAGGTAAATTACACATGGGTTAGGACTATAAGCTTGAGTTTGTTTTAAGCAAATATACTATGTGCATATAAATATTGGGCTTTGAGTGTTTCCAGGTGCTACATTTATTTACTTCATGTCTCGCAGTGATGATACCATAGGTCACAAGTTAATAGACTTTTTTGAAATTTCTTTTGGAACCACCTTGAAATGCCGAGATCTGTCATTTAATTTATTTGTTCCTTTCTAATCTATATGCCTTTTATTTCTTCTTCTTACCTTGCTTCACTGGCTAGCATTTCCAGTACTTTGTTGAGTAACATGAGAGTGGATGTTTCTGCCTTTTTCCTCATTTTAGAGGGAAAGCATCCACTCTTTCGCCATTAAATGTGATGTTCACTGTGGGTTTTTTTGTAGATGTTCTTTATCAATTTAAGGAATTCCCTTCTGAGTTTGCTGAGAGTTTTTATTGTTAGTGCATGTTGGATTTTGTCAAAAGCTTTTTCCACGTCTGTTGATACGATTGTATGATTTTTCTTCTTTAGCCAGTTGATACAGTGGATTACATCGAAAGTCAAACCAGCCTTGAATACCTAGAATGAATCCCACCTTGCAGGGGTTGTGGTATATAATTCTTTTTATACATTTTATACAATTAGCTAATATTTTGTTGAGAATTTTTATGTCTGAGTTCACGATAGGTATTGATGTGTAGCTTTCTTTTATGGTAATCTCCTTTTCTGGTTTTGGTATTAGGATAATTCGCGGTTCATAAAATGATTTGGGACATGTTCCTTCTCTCTCTGTTTTCTGGAAAACATTGTATAAAACTATTAATTCTTCCTTAAATATTTGGTAGAATTCTCTAGTGAAACCACCTGGGTCTTGAGATTTCTTTTGGGAGATTTTTCTTAAATTACAAATTCAATTTGCTTAGTGGTTAATAAGGCTATTCAAATTATCTACTACATTTTGTTGAGTTGTGGTAGCTTGGTTTTTCAGAGTTGGTCCATTCCATTTCATTTGTTAAATTTATATGTGTAGAATTGCTTATAATGTTCCTTTATCATCCTTTTGATGTCTGTAGGATCTGTTTTGCTCCTCATGTTGGTAACTTGCATCTTCTCTCTCTTTTCCTTTGTCAGTCTTTCTAGAGGTTTGGCAGTTTTATTAATTGCTTCAAATTACCACCTCTTTGTTTCATTAGTTTTTCTCTTTGTTTTTCTGTTTTTAATTTCATTGGTTTCTACCCTTTTCCCCCCCTATTCTTTTCCCTTCCTCCTTTCCATTTTTTCCCCTTAGCTTTGAGTTTATTTTGCTCTTGTATTTTTCTAGGTTCTTGTGCTGTGAACGTAGATTATTGATTTGAAACCTTTTTTCTTTTCTACTGTACTTAGCGCTACAAATTTTCCTTGCAACACTGTTTTAGCTGCATTTCTTTTATTGTGATGCATTGTATTTTTATCTTCATTCAGTTCAGTTAATGTAAAACATTTCCTTTGATGCTTCCTCTTTGACCCATGGATTATTTAGAAGTCTGTTGCTTAATTTCCAAGTGTTTATGGAGATTTTCCTGTTGTCTTTTATCTTACTGATTTCTAGTTTGATTCCACTGTGGTCACAAAACAAACACACTTTGTATGATTTTAAATCTTTTAAATTTGTTGAGGTTTGTCTTGTGGCCTCAGATATGGTCTGTGATAAGTGCTCCCAAGTCACTTGAAAACAAAATGTGTATTCTGATGTTGAGTGGAGTTTTTTTTTTTTTTGTCAAATCCTGTTTGTTCCCTGCATTGTTCAGTTTTTCTCTATTCTTGCTGTGGTTCCAACAATTGTTGAGGAAGGTGGTTATTAACATCCCCAATTATAATTGTTTATTTGTCTATCTCTTCTTCTATCAGCTTTTGCTTTATGTATTTTGGGGCTGTTTTGTTTGGTGCATACATTTTGTCTTCCGGGTAGATAGATCTTGTTATCTTATGTAGTATTTCTTTTATTTCTAGTGATTTTCCTTATTCTGAAATTCACTTTATCTGATATTAATATAGCCAGTCTTGCTTGTTCTTTATTAATGTCTACAGTGGTCTGTCTTTTCCATCTTCTTACTGTCAGTCTGTTTATGCCATTGTATTTGAAATGAGTTTCGTATAGACAAGGTATTGCTAATGATGTTTTTTTAATCGACTCTGTCTTAATTAGTGTTGAAACCATTTGCATTTAAGGTAAATATTGATGTTAGGACTTAAGTCTCTTGTTTTGTTATTTGTTTTCTGTTTCTTGTTCCTCTTTTACATTTTTCTTACCTCCTGTGGTTGCTTGCATATTTTTAAGGGTTGCATGTTTTTGAGTGTATTACTTTGTATAGTTACTTTAGTAGCTACTCTAAGCACTACAGTACACACGTTACCATAATCAGCTTGCTGCTGTCGACACTTCACCTGTTCTTGTGAAATGTAGGAACCCTATTTCCATTTAGTTCCCTTTCTTCTCCCTACTTTTTAAATATAATTGTTGTATTTTCCCTACTTACATTGAGCACCATATCAGATGGGTTTATTAACTTTGCTTCAATAACCGAATAGGATTTTTAAACGTATGAGGATTATCTATTATATTTTCACCAGTTCTTTTATTCTTACTTGCTTCCTTGAGTTCAAGATCTCTTTTGTTATAATTTCTTTTCTGTCTAAGGACTTTTCTTTGGTCATTCTTTCATAGTTAGTCTGCTTCTGATGGCAAATTCTCATAGTTTTTCTTTATCTGAGAACATTTTATCTCCCCTCATTCTTGAAGGACATTTTCACAAGATATGGATTTTGCAGTTGACAGTTCTTTTCTTCAACACTTGAAAAATGTGCTACTTCTCTGGCCCCCAATGGCTTCAATGAGAAATTGGCTGCCATTCAAATTTGTGTTTTTTCCAAACACAAGTTACAGAGAATTACTCACTTAAAGGAGTAGTTTCTCACTGGTTGTTTTTAAGATTCATTCTTTGTTTTTAGTTTTCAGAAATCTAACTGTGGTGCATCTTGGTGTCTTCATTGGTTCAGCTCCTCTAACAACACCACAGACAAATTTTCTCACAGTCTCACGGCTGGATGTCTGAGATCAGGTGCTGGCAGATTCAATTCTTGACCAGAGCTCGCTTTCACACAGCTGTCCTCTTGCTGTGTCCTCACGTGGCAGAGGGTGCGCAACACAGAAGGTCTCTGGTCTTTTATGATGAGGGCACTGACCCCACCTCAGGGCCTCAGCCTCGTGATCCACCTAATCCTAATCACCTTCCAGGGGTCCCTCCTCCTAACACCATCATGTCAGGACTTCACATAGGAATGGAGCGGGGAGTGGTACATTCAATCCGTAACACTCTGGGTGTATCCTATTTGGAGTTTGCTTGGCTTCTTGAATCTGTAGGTTTGTGTCTCTTGACTAATTTAGAATTTTTCAGCCATTGTTTCCTCAAATATTGTTTCAGTCCCACATGCTCTCCCCTGCTAGGACTCCAGAGGTTTTATTACGTCCCACAGGCCTCTGAAATGACTTTTTTTTTTTCCTATTTTCTCTCTGTTGTTCAGACCAGGTAAATTCTGTTAATCTGTCCTTAAATTCACAGATTCTGTCCTCTTTCTTCACTCTGTTTAACCCACCCAGCAAGATTTTTATTTTTGTTATTACAGTTGACGAATGAACAATGCTAGTTTGAACTATGTGGGTCCACGGATATACATAGGACGGTGCTGTAAACATATTTTATTTTCCTTATAACGTTTTAATACCATATTTTTTCCTATACCAACTTTATTGTAAGAATATAATATATATAAAAAAAGAATATAATATATAATTCATACACACAATATGTGTTCATCGACTGTCATCAGTAAGGCTTCTGGTCAATAGTAGGCTATTAGTTTTAGGGGGAGTCAAAAATTATATGCAGATTTTTGACTGTGCAGATGGTTGGTATCCCCCAACCCCCACGTTGTTCAAAGGTCAACTGTATATCGTTTGGTTGTATGATTTCCATTTGGTCCTCCTTTTTATGACTTCTGTTTCTTTACTGAGATTTTCTATATTTTCATTTCTTTCAAGAGAATTTTTAATTGCTGTTGAATCCTATTTTTGATGGCTGCTTAAAATCTTTGTCAGATAATTCTAATAAGATTCACCTTGATGTTTACCTTTTGCCAGATGTTATATTAAGTTTCAGCAATCCTAAAATGATTAAGATCTCTTCTCTGCCTGGCAGAGAAAGTAGAAGAAATGAATAGCTTTTGAACTGAGATTTCCAGAGGTTAAGGCTCAGGCCCTAGAGCTCCAGCACTGGCCACTTACCAGCCTTGCAATCTCTAGGCTTCAGTTTTCTCCCTGAAAACGGGGATGGGGTGGGGCGCCTGGCTGTCTCAGTCGTGGAACGTGTGACTCGTGATCTTGGGGTGGGGGTTCGAGCCCCACGTTGGGTGTAGAGATTATTTAAAAAATAAAATCTTAAAAAAAACTGGGGATGGTATGGAAATAGTACCTGCCTCATGGGCTGTGTGAAGGTTGCAGGAGAGAATTCTGCAGAGGGTCTAGGGCACTACCTGGTGGATAGAACTCTTAGTCAGTTTATTGAGAGGGCCCTCTTGTCATTTTCCTCTGATTCAGATTTTTTTCAACTATCAGAAAAGTAACACTTCTCGTCACAACCTATAACTCAGAGCCAGTTCTTTTTCCTTCTGGCTACAGATTTTCATTATCAGTAACTGAACAAAATTTGGACAGCAAAGGAAGATTTGCAACTTTAGTTGAAAATCATTGGCGTTCTATTTAAGAAGTGTACAGTAAATTATGACCTGTAGAGGTGAGAGTCTCCTTACCAAATGGGAAGCAGAGCCTCCACAAAGAGCTGCAGGTACAGCTGCCACCGTAGGACATGTCTCGGGAAGCTTTGGGAAGGTTTCTGTTTTTCCAGTTAAAAAATCTAGTATGTGTATTGATCCTATTGATATTATTCCCCTTTAGCCATGAGACATAATAGTTTTAATGATGTAGAAAAGATGTTCTGTATTATGCTAATCTGTAAAAAATGGAGTCAGATCATACACAGTATTCCTCAACAGGTTAATAGAGTTGCCCAAAGACTCAGCTGTTCCAGTCCAAGGTGTTTACCCAAGAGAAGTGAAGACATCTGTCCACATGAAAGCCTGGGTGTGGGGGTGATGGGAGCACAACAGGGTTTACGTCCTTGACGCCACAAGTTACATACTTTAAAATGGTTCAAGTGGTAATTCCATGTTATCAATATCTTACCACAATAAAAAAATGAAACTTGCGTATGAATGTCCATAGTGGCTTTATTCATAATTGCTGAAAAGCGGACACTCACATGTCCATTAGCTACTGACTGGATAGAGTGCTGCGACCACACAGCGGGATGTTCAGCCGCGGGGCAAGGGATGGAGCCCTGACACAGGCCACGTACAACCCCACGAACCTCGACGACATCACGCTTACGAAGGAAGCAGACACACAGGCCACATACCATGTGATCCCACTTATGTGAGGCGTCCAGAACAGGCAAATCCACAGACAGGAAGTAGATCAGTGGCTGTCAGGAACGCTGATGGATGGTAAATACACTCTGAAACAGACAGTGGTGGTGGGCACACACCTCAGTGAGCATACTAGAAACCACTGAAGTGTGCACTTTATTTTCTTTTTTAAAGATTTATTTATTTATTTTAGAGATTGTGCACAAGCAGAGGGAGAGGCAGAGGGAGGGGGAGAAGCAGGCTCCCCGCTGAGCAGGGAGCCCAATGCGAGGCTGGATCCCAGGACCCCGGGATCATGGCCTGAGCCGAAGGCAGACACTCAACCAACTGAGCCACCTAGAGAATACTTTTTAAAAATAGTGATTTAAATTGTTAAATCTTGCAAGATCATGAAAATTCTAGAAGAAAGTATGGATGGATTTGTTTATAATATTGAAGATGGGGGCCCTCGGCTTCAAGTAGAGCAGAAATTCCAGAAGCCATAAAGGACAGGAAAAGTGATCAGTGTTACTGCGTGAAAGTTTTATACTGTGGGTATTTGAGTATACACACACACACGTGCTTGTAAATACACATGTGTGCGCACACATGTGCACACGTGCTCTGAAATGTGCAGGTACACATTTTGTAAGCAGGCCAAAAACAAATGGGAAAAGTATTTGTAAACACATCAAAGAGAGTTAAGTTTCTTACTTCATGAAGATCTACAAATTAGTAAGAAAACTTTGAATAGCCCAGTTAAAAAATAGGTGAGCAGCGAACCTAGAAATGAGCAAATGGAAGATGCTCACGCTGCCACATAAGGCAGGAGGCATCTTCTACCCATCAGACTGCAGACCCTTTTAAAAGTGGGGTGATAGGGCGCAGCTCCAGTGCTCAGGGCAGAGAGGTGAGCCGAGTGTTTGGGGAGGATAATGAGCAGTGAGTGCATGAGCGGTCACCGGAAGGGCTCTGGTCAGGTAAGTGTGCAGAGGACCGGAGTAGGGTGAGGAGTGGCGGACAATGGACGGCCACGTCACATTGGCAGGGCCTCTGAGTCGGAAACACAGAGGGCGCCATTCGGTGGCGGGGAGCCCCCGAGGTGGGGGCCTGGTGCACAGGTCCTGCCTGCCGGAGGGAAGGTGGGCCTCCAGAGAACAGAGGCTGCTGTGGGTGCAGGAGGGGGCAGTTGCACTGGGCCAGGAAGCCTGGGCTTGTCTGGTATTGCCAGGGTGGTTCTGGCCTCTGGAGCATCACGAGACCAATTAGGTTAGTGCAGCCTTGTGGGCAGGTGACGGCACCTCGGGGAGGAGTGTGGGGTGCCGGACCCAGGGCAGGTGCCGCATGAATGGGGTGGGAAGACTGGCCGGGGAGTGAGGTGGACCCAGCCTGCTTCGCTCTGTGCAGGCCTGCCAGGGCTGCAGACCCCAGGTCCACGTGCCTGCCTCCCTCTCGGTGAACCCTCGTGGAGCCTTCCCCCCACGTGATCAGTCGTGTGGCATGGCTGCTACTTCAGGCTTTGACTGCAGTGATGCGTCCTCTCCTAGTAACCAGATCTGTATTCTTCCATTGGGAACTTTTAAACCGGAATTCCAGACTAGATAAGTTTCCTAAATATGATGGAGAACTAAGTTTTTAAAAACTAATTAAATAAAAAATATGTATACTCACTGTAAATAAACATGCAATCGTGCCCTTCTTAAAGTTTTTGACTGCGATCTTAAGAATTCGTTCTGCGAGGTAAATAGCATGTCCTAAAAAGAGCTTCGGACAGAATCCTGTTCTCTGAGACTAAACGGACACAAAATGCGGAGTTCTGGCTCGGCCACGAGGAGCTGTTTTGCTGCGGGTCGCTGGGGTTCTGTCTCCGTGCTGCCGGTGTGGAGCTTGCGGGGTGACAGTTGCCTCAGGAGGAATTCCCAGTGGGCGTTAGTTCCTGGTGAGGGATTTTGTTAGTCACGGAGCTGTTTGAGCGGCGGCCAGGAGTCCTCATACTCTGTAAGATGTGTTTGTTTCACAGCTGACGGCAAAGCAGCCACTTCCATATTCGATTCAGATAACTTAAATTGAACCAAGTTACTTAGAATTAATGTGAGTGATAGGTTTTTAGTGTTTGCAAATAAAAATGTGATTTGGGAAATTTATTTTGTAACATATCAAAGAAAAACGAGTGAAAGCCCATTTTATGGGGTGTTTGGTAGGGAAATGTGTTTCGGAGGTGAAATGACATTCGTTTCTTCTCTCCTAGTGTTGTCATGGAGACCCTGCGGATCCTGGCTTTGGTCGGTCAGATCCTCTTCTCACTAGCTGCTGCTTTTCTTCTGTGTCTTGTTATAAAGACTTACCTCATTGGACCATATTATCGGAAACTGCACATGGAAAGCAAAGGGAACAAAGAAATCCTTATCTTAGGAATCTCTGCTTTCATCTTTTTAATGTTAATGGTAATTCTCAAAATACCTGTTATTTATATACTCTGACTTGTAATCTGTTCGCTGAAAGCTTATGATCAGTTCTTTATCTTTTTATTTCAATAATAGTTAAAATATTTGAAACACATGGTCGTATTTTTATTTTCTGTCCAGTCATCACTCTACCCCCTCAGTATTAGTACAGCAAGCTAAACCTGTTTGCTCCCATACTTTTTTTTTTAAGATTTTATTTTTATTGAGAGAGAACGAGAGAGAGAATGAGCAGTGGGGAGGAGCAGAGGGAGAAGCAGGCTTCCCGCTGAGCAGGGAGCCCAATGCGGGGCTCGATCCCAGGACCCTGGGATCATGACCTGAGCCGAAGGCAGACGCTTCACCGGCTGAGCCACCTGGGCGCCCTGCTCCCATCCTCTTACGCACTTTGCTGAAATTGCACCTCAAGCGTGGCACTGCAGGTGGTCTGGGTGGCCTTGAGAGCCACGTGGATTGCCAGCATCACCAGCATTACACTGTCTTAAACTTCCAAACAACTCTGGATCTGAAGTCAGATTAACAGTTTAAAACCATTTTTAGTTCTATTCGATGAGGACAAAGCTGGTCAGCAGTGTAACTTCTTTTGCTATAATGTAAAAAGTTGAAAATGAAAATAGAAGGTTCCTTTTAGAAGCAGCCTTCTCCTTATTTAAAGGATGTGCTTCTTGTGAGAGAATGGGGGGAGTGCTGTTAGGACCCCCGCAAACAGTTCGTGGTACCAGCGTCACCTACAGCCCCACAGCTGTGCTCCTCACCACGGGCCCCAGAGAAGTGAAGACTCGGGTTCCCACGGAAACTCACATGGGAATGTTCACAGCAGCTGTATCCGTAGCAGCCAAAGACCACCTAGATGTCCTTCAGCAGGTGCCTGGCTGCACCAGCTGTGGTCCGTCCACACCAGCGAAGACCACCCAGGTCTAAAACAACGGGCACAAGAATCTCCAGAGAATTATCCTGAGCAGGAAAAGCCAGTCCCGAAGGTCGCATACTGTGTAATTCCATTTATGTGACGTTTATGATGATAAAATTTCAGAAATGGAAGATTGCCGGTTGCGAGGCATTGGTGGGGGGATCCTTGTGACAGAAGGTTGCGCGTGTCTTCACTTGTCCTGGCTGTGATCTCACGCCTGACTTAGCAAGATGCCGCCACTGGGGAAGCTGAGCAAGGGGTCCATGAGATCTCCTTGGATTGTGTCTTACAACTACAAGCGAATCTACACTTAGCTCAAAATAAAAAGGTTAATTTTGAAAGGTTAATTTTAATTTAGGGGAAATTAACAAGAACTATTTCCTCATATTGTCGTATATGATTTAATTGTCTACTAGTGTTTTACAATCTTGGGAGAAGTCTAAGATTTGCTTTTGCTCAAAGCTGCTCATGTGTGTGACTTATTTAATTTTTTTTACATTGCTGTAGCCATTCTGGAGTATTTTTCTCTTTGAAAATAACATCCAGCAAAATTGTGTTGTCTGCATGCCTTCCACGCTGCCTTCGCAGCGGCTGCAAGTTCAGCTGGTTCCGCATTCATGGGCTCGGTTCTCTCCCTGAGCAGCTGCTAGGGCCCCACGCGCGGTCGGTGCCAGGCATCTTGCTGATCAGGTGGTCTCAGCTCGCACACTGTCGTTGCCTGAGGTAGTCCCTGGGCGTCACGGTTCGTCCTCTCTGCGGTTGGGTATGAGGGTTGGTTCCCATTCAGGGCTCTCGTGAGGAAAGCGGCTGTTCCTGCGCTCCCACATGCTCACAGGGGGGGTGGGGGGGTGAGCAGGAGTCGGCTTGCGGGCTGGAGGTGTGCACGGGGCAACCGGTAACGAGCGGGGTCTCCGCACCCTCCCCCGCCCCGGGGTGGCCTCAGCCGCTCTGCTGGGTGGGTGCTAGTGGTGCCTCCTCGGGACTTGACTCGCGTTTCCCTCGCGAGCTGTGTGGACACCCGCCTTGGGGCTGGCCTGTCAACCCTCAGGTCATTTTCCTCTTGGGTTGGTTATTTCTCTTACTCATTTGTAGGAATTTTTTATATATTCTGACAAATTTTTTGTCTTTTTTTCTTTTTACTAAAATGAAATTCCTGTAACAAAATCAGCCGTTTTAACCCTTTTAAAGTGTACAAGGCAGGGGTTTTCAGCACGTTCACAGCACCATGTGACCATCGCCACAGCGAGAACATTCCTGTCACCCCCCCAGAGACCCCGAATCTCCCAGTCCCGCCTATCCCCCATCCCGTAGTAACCGCTGCCCTGCTTTCTGCTCACACGGACTAGCCTGTGTGTCTGCCGCTCTGATGTGGCGTCCCCTAAAGGTCCATCCATGCGGGCATGTTTCTGTACTGGCTCCTTTTATGGCTGAAATTCTATGTTCCGTATATTTTTGATAATATCTTCCAGTCTGTGACTTAACTTTTCACTCTCTTCATGGCATTTTTTAATAACCAGAAGTTCTTAATTTTCATGTACTCTTAAGTTTCGAATTTTGTATGGGTAGCACTCTTTCGGTCCTGCGTTGATCTTTGCCTCCCTTGGTCCAAAGGCACCGTGTCATCTTCTGGGACGTTTTGCTTTGCTTTTCTCATTGGATCTGTGTCTGTCTGGAGGCACGTAGAGCACATGGCATAGGGCTGTGGACACGAATCCGTGTTCTCTCCATGCCACACTGGGGCACAGGGTCACCTTGTCAGAAGCCAAGAGGTGTGTGAGTGCATGAGTGTGAGTGCAAGTGTGCATGAGAGTGTGTGATTATGTAAGTGTGCTTGCGTGTGTATGAGTGTGAGCACGAGTGCGTGGGTGGGAGCATGCAAGTGTGTACGTGTGCTTGTGTGTGAGCACAAGTGCATGAGTGAGCACAACTGTGCGAGCACAAGTGTGTGGGTGTGAGTGCACGTGTGCTTGCATGAGTGAGCCTGAGTGTGAGTGCGAGCGTGCATGTGTGTGAGCATGAGTGCGTGGGTGTGAGCGTGCATGTGAGTATATGTTGTGTATGTGTGCTTGTGTGAGTGAGCGCGAGTGTGCGTGAATGTGAGCACAAGCGTGTGGGTGTGAGTGCACGTGTGCTTGCGTGACTGAGCATGAGTGTGTGGGTGTGAGCGTGCATGTATGTGATTGTGTACGTGTGCTTGCGTGAGTGTGTGAGCACGAGCATGCGAGTGCCGGTGTGTTTCTGACTCTCCGCTCTGTCCCCTTGCTGGCTCACCTGCTCTTACAGGTGGTGGCGCTGTGCCCAGCAGCCTTCTCGGTCCAGGTTGTCTGGCTATCTTCATGGTCTTCCCAGCATCCGCGTGAGGTTTTGGATTCAGCTTGTCAGTTTTCACACGCCACTGCAGGGCCTCGGGGCCTGTGGGAGGAGAGCTCGTGCATTCACGGCTGAGAGCCTCTTGCTTGTGAGCGCACACCCTGCACGCCCTGGCTCTCGTGCGTTTTCTCAGCAGAGCCCTTTGGTATTTGGCGTGAGGGTCGTGCGTTCTCTTGTGGGACTTGTCCCGGGAGCTGGGTGTTTTTTGGCGCTGTTGTGAAGCGTGTTTCCTTAATGTTCTTTCTTTTGGCTGCTGGCTTCTGTGTGTGGTTTTACTTCCTCAGAATAAGAAGTGTCTACTTCTTTCAAGTTGTTTTGTGTCAGTAACACCTCGCGAAGAAGTCCACCGGAAGCTTTGCATTTAACAACTGTCATTAGAAGCCCAACAAATCCTGACTTGTACCGCGTCCGGCCCGCTGAACGCGCTGGCGCTTCCCTCTGGGGTCCTGTTCTCTCCGGGCATCGCTCGTCACTGTCCACTTTCTCTATGTGCTTTCAGGTGGAAACGGGGATGGTTTTTACATTAATACGTGTTTTATTGCCGTAGTTGGGCTATTCACTGAGTCAAGGTAAAGAAAATCTACCACAAATACTTAAAATAAGTTTTTGAAAATATTGTCATTCAAAACTTTGAATGATTGTTTCAAATATTTTAATTTTTTTTTCTCCCTTTATGGTAGATTCAACTAATGTTCGCTTGCTGTGCGTGTCTCCGCTCGTCCCCACAGAGGCCCCTCTGGGGACTTGGAGATGGGCCTCGGCTGTGACGGCGCCATGCCTTTGGGCGTGAACCCGCCCCTGGCCGGAGATGTCGCTGGTGGCACTTGTGAGTGACAGGCGGCCCTCCCCTCTCGCCCAGGTCACGGAGCTGCTGGACATCTCCATGGAGCTGGGCTGCTTCCTGGCCGGAGCGCTCATCTCTTCCCAAGGCCACATGGTCACTGAGGAGGTCGTGTCTTACATCGAGCCCATCCGTGACTTCCTGGTTATCATCTTCTTCGCATCCATAGGTAACCTTTCTTGTTCACGTCAGGACGTTCACGCGGTGTTCGTGAGACAGATGCACGTGACTTCTGTGACCTGCTTGCATATTTCTTTTTATTCAGCAAGAACAGTTCCATAAAAATTGGGGTCTGCAGAGAAACCTTACCGAAAAGAGGGAAAGTTTGTACTCGGGGACATTAACTTATTGATCGGCGGCCATGCTCTGGGGGTACTCGGATGCCCTCAGGGAGGACGACCCCCACTTTCAACTCCATGGGAAACGTATAGGTGCCCAGCAGGTTAGCAACTTAAAGTCAGCACCAAAATGGGACATTTGGGAGGAAAGGGTAATTTTGGCACCAAAAAGTGAAGCTGCAGTGTCGAGGTGTGCTGCCGTGTGAGTTGCCCCTGTGTCAGGTGCCTCTGTGCCCGGCACGTCCATGCACCCTGCTGCCCTCCACCCGGAGAGGCCACCCAGCAGGCGCCATGCCTACGCTCGCCGACAGGCTCGGCGCCGCCCCAGCGAGCCCAAGAACGTTGAAGAGCACAGGGCAGCCGGTCCTCAGAGTGGAGGGCAGAGTGGGGAGACCGCCCGTCACCAGACGGGGTAAGACCCTTTGCAGCTGCGTTAGCGACAGGTGTCCGCGGTGTTCTGAGAGAGAACCTTCTTGCCAGCAGGTGCCCCTTGCTCTGCCCCCCTTCCTGTCCGTCCCCTGCCCATCCCTTGTTCTTTGTCCTTGTGTCTGGGTCTGTCTCTGTCCCTCCTGCCCCCCTTCCTGCCTGTCCCCTTCCGCCTGTCACTTCTCCAGATGAGGACCCATGAGGCCGACAGGGACAAGCTCCCTCTGACTGGGTCCCAGGCCACATTCCTCCCGGGGCCGCATCTCACTGACATGCGTGTGGCTCGTGTCCTGCCCGCAGGGCTGCGTGTAGTGTGTGCTGGTTAGAAATGAAAATCCCGTGGACGTGTTATCTAACAGACAGGCTTGCTGAACTCTCCCTCAGGTTAGGGTTCTTGACCTGCCGAGATCACAGGTGTCTAACGAGGACAGAGCCGTAGTGTTTTTGCTTTCGTTCTTCACGCTCAGCATGCGAAGGGCGTTCAACTGAGAAACGTGTGCACTCCACTGCTCGGGACAGAGTCTTTCTCTTTGGGGTTGCAAGCAACACAGAAGTGGTCCGTTTGAGATGACGCCTCGGGGCTGTGCCCACGAACCCGGTCCCTGACCCCTGCCCCATGTCAGGCCCCACGGAGCTGGGAGACTGCGCGGAGGGCCCACTGGCCGCAGTCAGTCCCAGGCAGGGGCAGTGGCCCTGGGGTCCCAGCACCACAGTGGGGCCACTGAGGGCCCTGGCTGAGCTCTGAGCAGTGAGAGCAGTGTGACCAGCAAAGGGCAGTTTGGGGCCCAGAGTGAAGGAGGGCCCCGCCAGGGGGCTGAATGCAGAGGCAGCAGAGGCTGACACTGGCCCTGGAGGGCATCGGGGCGGGGATTCAGTGCAGGTGGAGGGACCCTCAGAGGGCAGCAAGGCCCCAGGCCCATGTGGCGGTGGGCGGCAGTGCAGACCCTGAGCCCCCATGTTCCTCCCACTAGACCAGGCGTCGCAGGCTCTGCTCCTCCTCACGATCATCTGGCACCTGACTTCCTAAGTCCCATGTCACTGAAACACCACTGTACCCATCCCTTTGTGCTGCACTTTTTTTAAGATTTTATTTATTTGAGAGAGAGCGAGCACGTGTACAAGCAGGGGGAGTGGGAGAGGGAGAAGCAGACTCCCCGCAGAGCAGGGAGCCCGACGCGGGGCTCGATCCCGGGACCCCGAGATCACGACCTGAGCCAAACGCGGACGCTTCACTGATGGAGCCGCCCTCCCCTGTGTTGTGTTGACGAGGCTTTTGAGCTGTGGCTCATGCTGCCAAAACGGATGCTGGCATGTGGGCAGCAGCAGCGCTGACGGAGCCTCTTCCCGGGCTACAGATGGCCGCCTGCTTGCTAGGTCCCCGTGTGGCCTTTCCCGGGACACAGTGCACTTGGGGACAGACACACGGAGACAGAGGAAGGGACGCGGGGCGGGGGGACTCCCGTGTCCCCTCCTCTCCTCACGAGGACACCAGTCCTGCTGGCTCAGGCACCCACCCTGTGGCCTCTCGTCGCCCTCAGTACCCCCTGGAAGCCATCTGCAGGTGCGGTCACACGGGCTTGTGGCCTCAGCACCTGAAGTGGGGGCAGCGCGGTCGTGGCAGCTCCAGAGGCAGAAAGGAGTGGGGGCAGCCAGGCCTGTGCGGCCCCCACTCCGTCCCGCACAACCACGACGACTAATCTCCCATCACTCCTTGTCTTACGGACGAGGCCAATGACGCGATGTTTCTTGTTACAGACTTTTCAACAAGGATTTCATCCTCTCGGATCCCCCTTCCTGGGACACAGAGAGGAATTCTGAAGTGGGCACTGCCCGTCCTCATTCTTAGAGGCGCCCTGGAGGCTGTTGTGGGCCCGTCTGGGTGTGACGGCTCACACTGCCACCTCTGGGCCTAGCGCGCATGCGAGGTGACTGGGGGGCTAGTGATGATTGACGGACCGTGTGCCACGTTCTGCTTCCCACGTCTGCCGAAGGAGGTCAGGAGGTGTGCCAGGGTCCATGCTTGGTTCGTGGTGGACCTGACATGGGCGTGCAGAGCCCGGGTCCTAGGGACACAGCCGGTATCTGTTGGGAGGACGAGTGACTGCATGTCCGTAAGCAGGAAAACTACGGCGGCTTATGTGCCTCTTGTCAGAAGCGCGTGTGGCAGGTGCGCCAGAGTGTGGATCTGTGTACGCGGTGCTCTGCTCGCCGCACAGAGGTCCGAGTGAGGAGTGTGTCCACCCTCAGAGTGGAGAGCCTCTGCCGTCCGGCCTGCGTGCTTGGCCCGGCGCATGCTTATCCTCGGGAGAGGGAGGCCCCTGAGCTTCGAAGTAAGTCAGCGATAGCCGTCAGTGTGCCCAGTGGGGAAGTGGGCGGGCGGGGGCCACCGTTGCCCAGGCAGGTCCGTGCAGTGGGCCGGGTTGGGGATGTGTGCACAGGAGTGCTCACACTGGTCACTTCCGACTGCGGGTGACAGTGTGACGAGCTGGTCTGCAGCCATAGTGCTGGGGGGTCGTCAGGGCTCGGGGGGCACTGCAGGTTGGGGAGGTGGCCGAGGCAGACCCAGGAAGAGGGAAGTTGCCAGGAAGGAGGTCGGGGCAGGTGCTCATCAGCAGGCCCCCGTGGGTGGATGCTGCAGAATTCCAGGGAAGAGAAGGCTGTCTTGTGAGCACGGGGGTTCTGGGGTTTGTGTTTCTGAGTCAAACAGATGTGTCCCTGCCCCCGACGTGAGCTCCAGGTGCCCTCCCTAGAGGTGTGGGGCCGGCCACCGAGCGAGGAGGGGCCCACCAGCACCCACCCCTCGTCCCTCATCCCTGGCACGCTCCCAGCAGGCACTGACCGCAGCGGGAAAACCATTCTCGGTGGTTTTGCCAGGGCAGCAAGCAGCCACGAGTGGCCAGGCTTCTCTCCCCCTTGTTTCCAGGCCCCGGGAGGTGCCTGCACCTCACACAGAACGTTTTCACAAAGGAAAATCACTTAGCCGCTGCCTGCCATGCCGTTTTGCCAAGTCCTGGGAGTGAAGTCTGGTGGAGGGTGGCCCTGGGCACCCGGGCCGCTGTCCCTGTGGCGAGCCGGCTCAGAGCACCAGCAGCAGGGGTCCCTCGTGCAGGGCAAGGACAGAAGGAAGCCTGAGCATCGAGGGCTCGTGGTTGAGGATGAGGCGGGTGGGCCTGCGAGAATGACCCTGTCTGTCCTTTCCCTAACAGGCCTTCACGTGTTCCCCACTTTCGTGGTGTATGAGCTCACCATCCTGATGGTCCTCACGCTGTCGGTGGTGATCATGAAGGTATGGATTCTCCTTCTCGGTGCTTCGCGATTGGTACAATTCCTGTCATTTTTGGTTGTATGTGTCACAGAGCCTACCTTCCTACCCATAGTGACGCTGAGTCTGCAAAGCTTACCCTGAACCCCTCTTGCCTCCCAGCAGTCTGGGGACGGGGCGGGGTAGGACCGGGGCCTTTGGGTTTGTTTTCCTTCATTTGTCTCAGAATTGGGTATGTTTGAAATGGGAGTTAGGAAAGCTGGGCCAGGAGAAGCGACTTCTGGACGTCCCGGGAGGCCCCTGCACTTGGACATTCCTCCCGAGCTCTGCTAGCAATCTGCACTCATGTACAGTGCGTTGTTTATATGTTTTGAAATTATTATAATACTTTTGCCCACTAAATCAGTGGCTTATTATAAAAGGGTATATATAACTCAGGAACAGCCAGATGGAAGCGATGCCCGGGGCAGGGCGTGGGGGCGGGTCATGGGGCGCCTGTGCCTGTCGGGACGCCTCACAAACTTCCAGTTTAACAGCCACTGAGAATGACCTCATTGCTGTGTCCTCCATGACTGCAGGTGCTTGAGTTGCCTGTGTTAACATTCATTTCAGGGTCCGATTGCCTACTCAGTAGCTGTCTGGCTTTGTAGATTATAAAAGTTGACTTAAAATACTAGTTTTTTTTTAATTGGGGTGGGAAGGCACAGAAGGAGAGGGAGAGAGAGAATCTCACGCAGCAGACTCCACGCCCAGCAGGGAGCCCAATGTGGGGCTCGATCTCACGACCCGAGATCAGGACCTGAGCCAAAACCAAGAGTCGGACACTGAACCGACGGAGCCATCCAGGTGCCCCTGACTTAAAATACTTTGACTGGAAGGAATCCGAATCCCTGATGATTGTTGCACTTGCTCCGCGGGTTCTGGACCACTCACCTCTGGACTGTGCTCACGTGAGAGAGCTACAGTCCTCTTGTTAGAAAGTAAAATGTCCTTGAGCGCTGCCTGCTGCCTGACTTGGTCTGGGGGGAAGACCTAGCTGTCTGCTAGTGAACCTGAACCCTTGATTTTGCGTTGTTCAGCGTGGTTTTCTGTCCCTCTGTGTCCCTTTGGTGCTTCTGCTTATGTCCCCAGGGTGTCCGGCGAGGGCTCGTGTCTGTTTTCTGCTCAGCCGGCAGGCTCGGGCGAGGCAGTAACGGGTCGCTCTCGCAGTTTGCTCTGGCAGCTCTGGTCTTGTCCCTCCTCCTGCCGAAGAGCAGTCAGTACGTCAAGTGGATCGTGGCCGCGGGGCTGGCGCAGGTCAGCGAGCTCTCTTTTGTCCTGGGGAGCAGAGCGCGCAGAGCTGGTATCATTTCTCGGGAGGTGAGTCTGCACCCACGTTGTGTGTTCGGGGAGCCCCGGCCTGCACCCCCCACCCTGCCGTCTGAGCATCCCGCCTGCGGCTCCGCAGCTGGTGCGGGGCCGGCGCTCTGCCTCTCACCCAGCGCGGACGATTAGTCGCTGTCAACGCTGCCCGGTCCCCTCACGCATCTCTGGCGGAAGAAGAACTAAATCTCAAGGCCCCCCCCGCTGGTTTGTGTACGGCCTCCCTGGGACCGCGTCTGAGCGGCGCCCCCGCACTCGGGTCTGACTCCCGAAACCACTGAAAAGGCAGAGCTGGAATGTTGTCAGGTGAAAGTCCCTGGTTTGTTTGGGGTTTTTTCATGAAGTACTTTGCAACATTTGCCTTACACGTAAAAGTTGAGTTTGGGTCGCTGTGACAAGTGCTTCTGAAGACACCGTATCTCCAAATTTTAGGGAGTCGGAGTGAAAACTTTAATAGAAATGATGGCAGAGCTTCCTCTGTATAAAATACACGGAGGTTTTTCCTGTGTATCAGTATACACCAAAGTTTGGGGCTTCTTTGATCAGCTCCTCCTTCCCCCACCACAGCTTTAAGCCTGCAGGGTGCTGGGCCCTCCGCGTGGCGCCTGGAAGGTGAGCCCCCTGCCCCCCGTTTGCCTCCTTCCCCTCTGTCCCTGGCCCCTTTGTCCTGGGCCTGGCTTTCTCGCGCGCCGGGTATTTGCACACCCACCCACGGCCATGCACTTGCCTTGTCCTCCTCTCTAGTTTTGTTCGTTTGCCCTTTGAACTAGAACGTGATGAATATTGTCTGATGACCCCTGGTTGTCACTTTACACTTGACAAACAGGACGTTTGTGCTTGGCGGTGACCCCCACCCCAGGGGTCAGTGGGCCACAGTGTGTGGTCCACTGTGCAAGAGCTAATGTCCTTTAGAGCAGGGCCAGCGTGAGCCCTCCGTGAGCTGAGGACCAGTGACGTCACTGTTTCAGTGAAAGCAGGGTGGACATTAATGGGACTCTGCTGTGGATAAATGGATAAATACTGGGTCATGGTATAGGAGCAGACGGGAGACCACACACGCTTTCCCCAGACTCGTAACCGTGGGGGCCGGCTCACCACGCCCGTGGTTCTAGCTTAGAAACAGGGCGCTCTCAAATTGGGGGTTTGTGGACACACAAGCTCATGAATGGTAGTTTCTACTCAAACCTAACTGGATCCCCCAGCACCCTTCTGCATCTGAGTTTTGTTTTGCCCTTTTTGTGCAAGTATGTGTAAATGTGTCAGGCAGGCCCTTGAACCAGGGCGGGGCTTTGTCTGCTGCCCCCTTTCAGCGAGCACCCCTCCCTTGGGCACCCTGTTGCCGGTGAGCGCCCCCCCCGCACCGTGAGATGCCGCCAATATCCGGTTCTGCACACCTGCCCCCTAATTTGGGCCAAGGGAATATAGAAGCTCCTCTTAGTGCCTGGGACATGCTGTAAGCACTCAGAATTCAGTGCTTGTCTGCCATAGTCATGAGTGTGAGGAAGATAGGATGCATCTCAACTGTGGAGAAACGATGGATGAGGGATGACATCATGATGTCATGATGAGGGATGCGCACAGGCCCCGTGCGAGACCCGCGCTGGGGCCGCGGGGTGGGCCCCGTCTGAGACCCGCGCTGGGGCCGCGGGCTGGGCCCCGTGCGAGACCCGAGACCCGTGCTGGGGGTGGGCCTGTGGCCCTGGGGGGTGTGCAGGGGCACCTCCTAGTCCTGCGTGTGACCACCGTCAGCCTTACCTCTTCCAGGTGTACCTCCTCATCCTGAGTGTGACCACACTCAGCCTCTTGCTGGCCCCAGTGCTGTGGAGAGCCGCCATCACGAGGTGTGCGCCTCGGCCAGAGAGACGGTCGAGTCTCTGAGGGCAGCGACAGGGACACATGGCTTCAGAAGTGAGACCCCTCGCCTCGGGGACAAAGCGCTCCGTGGGAGGGGCTCCCCGTGTACCCAGCGTGCCGACTTCCTGCCGTAGCTTCGGGTCTTCCAGAGTAATTTATTGCATTCAGTTGATCATGCACAGTATAAATATAACGCTGCATTTTACAGATCACCTTGACTGTTTTGCCTGGATGTGCCTTTTTTTCTGAAATTGTTAACTTTCTATTGTTACTTCATCAGTTCATGATTTTTTGGTAAAAAAAAAAATCAGAAAGGTTTTTTATTTATTCAACTTTTGTGTTGTAATCTGTTGGTCAATATTTGTTATTAAACATTTCTGTGATATGAAATTTTAATTCTGGCAGTGAGTTTGGAAAGTTACTTTAGTCCTTACTGTTTTCTAAAATGAAAAATATCTTCTAAATGTCTATTTGTTTTTATTACAATAATTTTAAATAAAACATTCATGTCAGTTTATTAAATGTCATTCTTTTAAAATATTTGCTTTGAATCACAAGAATATGCATGCTTTAATAAAGATCATTTATGATCAGAGAAATTAATTGAAATTTATTGGAATTTTTCTTAGATTTTCGTGTTAAACTAATCTTTGACAGTTTTCAAAAGTTAGGATGATTTGTACCTTGCCACATCATTCTCTAAGAGACCAAAGCCTAAGTTGTAACTTTGATTTTTAAAGTATATTTTGGTTCCTATATGGTCCATTTTGGAGAGCCCAGGGCTGGAAGGTCTGATCTTACAGATTTCCCCGAGGGGCGCTGTGAGTGGAGTGTCCTGTCAAGATGGGCTTTAGGAGCCTAGCAGTCTGACCAGAGCCCTCACGGCAGAGGGAAGGCCGCCTCGTGCACGACGACGTACCGCAGGTGTGACCGTGTGATTAACACTCTGGGAGGAAGTAGCTGCCTCTGGTCCACAGGAAATCGGCGGAGAAGTGGTACAGCCCTGGTTTTATTCATTTCTCAGTCGGCGCATCAGGGCCCTTCCCTCCAAACCGCTGGGTGTGGACGTGTGCGCAGGACGCTTTCTCTTACCCGTGCGCGTGCCCACCTTGCCCGGCAGGCGGAACCCGCTCGCGGCGGCCTCTGGGGTGCCTCTTCTTGTTCTTTCATTTTGGATCCCCAGCACCTGAGGTCAGAGCCAGGAGCTCGAGAAATTGTGTTGAGCTGAAGGAGACCTATTTGCGCTGACACAGTTGTCCCCAGAACATGGAGGTAGCATCGCTGTGAGAGAGTGCTGAGTCGAGACGCCAAGAGGACGCACCTCTGGAAGACCCCAGCCCCAGGACGAGGCCTCCTCACCTTCCGCTCACCTCTCAGGGCCCACCATCCACGCCCCTGCCACACAGTGAGGCCACAGAGCCCTCCACGGCCCTGTCCTCACTCTCCCCTCCTCATCCAGGCTTGGGGAGCTCAGCTCTCTCCTCTCCGCCCCTGCAAGCCCCTGCCCCTGTGGCCATCAGCGTTTCCTCTGTGGCCCAGTCCGGCTTCGATCGCTGGCAGAGGAAAGCGTGCTTGCCGACCAGCCCCGCAGTGATGTCCTCACCTGGAATTTAAAACTTGGTGTCCGGTTTGAGTCTGTTCCTTGTGGATTGACATTTGAGACGCAGAGCTGAAGACAGAGGGGCGGGTCGGGGCGCCACCTGCTGACAGCGAGCGCCTCACCCGGTCCCCAACACCCGTCGTCAACGCCAGGAGCGCTCACCCGACCCCCAGCTCCTCCCGCCTCTGGTCCCCACGCGCATCGCAGGCGTTACAACCTGCTGGCGCCCTCGCATGGCCCTCCCCCTTCCCGGGTCCGAGTGCTGCCCCTAAGCCTCTGGGAGGTAGGCCCCCGCATCCTCGGTGTCCTGGCGTGCTGCTGGGCGTGGGGGGCAGGATGGAGGCCGAGCCCCACGTGGAAGAGCTTCATTCGGCCTGAGGGAAGCCGGAGGACGTCCAGCACCATCTGGCTGGAAGGTTGAGAGCCGCGGCTGTTGGAGCAGATCTTCCGTGGGAGGTCAGTTAGGAGAGACGCTTGCTTGGTTTGCTTGCGCGACAGACACAGGAGAACATTCGTGGTCAGAAGTCAGTGTGTGAGGCAGCCTCCGCCACGGCTCCCGGGCCACGGGCACCTGATGTGGCGGAGCAGAGCCCCCCGGGGAAGGCGGCGGCCGTGCCTCCCTCGGAGCGCTAACCTGTGGTTGAACAGGCCATGCTGCCGGAGCCTAGATGGGGGGTGGGGGCGAGGGGGGGGGGACAGCCAGGCTTCATGCCCCCAGGCAGAGCAGACACGGCCAGTATCTGCTTCGGACACCACGTCTCCTGCGCCCAGGACGGTCGTGGTACGTCAGAGCCCGGAAGGGGGAAGGTGAGGCACAGGCTCGGGACCGGCTGCAGGGCAAGCGCGGGAGCCTGGGTGCCCAGGACCTGCAGGGCACAGGTGCAGTGGGGCTGTGGTACCGGGCGAGACTGAGACCCCCTGGGCTCGGGCAGGTGACAGGTGAGGGGCATGCAGGTGAAGATGACGAAGGAGCGGCCAGGGCGTGCGGGCTCCCTGGGGTGGGCGGCTGCTCCGGTGTCCAACTCCAGGACTCCTGCCGGCTCCCCCACCCCCTGGGATGTGGCCGCTGCCGGCCCTTGGCCCTTGGCATGAAGGTCAGGGTGCCCCCGCCGCTCCGTGGCTCCCAGTCCAGACTGCCTACGCCTGTGGGCCAGGGCCCCAGAGCTCTCTGTTCCTCGTGCCTGGTGGCAGCCCCGGCCCCTCCATATGTCCTTATTCATCTGGGGAGTCGCTGAGCCCGGCCCACCCACGGCGCCTGGCCACACACCGGCTCCCTCCTCCCCCTGGCTGCCCGGGGCCAAGGTCCGCGGCTTCGCCAGCACTGGGCCTCGAGGCTGGCTGTGGAAAGTCCGTGCCCCCTGCACGCGAGACGGGCGGAGAAGTCGGCTGGCCCCGATTCCATCAGCTCATCCAGACAGAGCGAGGCGTGTCTTTCCTGAGGGCAAGTAGGGCCTGGTGCCCTGCAGGCCTCTGGCCTCCCTCGCCTGGCCAGAGTGAAGAGGCCTTTGCTTTGCTTGCTTTAGGGATGGACCATGCAAGGGAGGGATGGGCTGAGGGGTCCAGCGGGCATGGGCCGAGGGCAGGGCCCGTCCCCAGCTGCTCCAGGAGCTCATGGGGGCTCGGGCTGAACCCTGACCCCCCTGCCTGGGGGGCCTGCCGACACCTGCCTTTGAATGCAGCGTGAAGAATCAAGAAACATGACGTGCTCATTATGTAGAAATTTGGGGAGAACGTGCCTGGGGGAGGGCGGGGGCAGGCCTTTATTAGGATGAGCCCGATGCGCCCACATCCCCCTTGCTTGCTGTGAGGATCCTCGCTGCCTTTAGAAACCTTGTCACGGGCTGTTTCTCCCACGCAGGCCGCGTCCGCGTGGGTGTGGTTGCCACAGGAAACAGCGTTGCTGCTGGGACGCCCCCCCTCGAGGCCCCTCGCCCTGCCTCCCCGGCCCTTCAGAGCTCCCCGCCGGTGCCCGCTTCCTTCTCTGACGAGCCGTTAGGGGCGCGAACGCTTTCACAGAAGCGCTGCGTCCTGTGGTCTTCCACTCAACCGCGTGTTTCTGACTCATCCTGGTGCCGAGTCTGAGGCAGACATTCTCACCTTCTGTGACCATCGCTTCCGTGAAGACGCTGCAAAGTGCTTCTGTTGCCACCCGTGTCCCAACATCGTCACCACGGAACAGTCCGGAGGAAGAGGCAGGGGTTCCTCACGTGCGGCCTCGGGGTCTTTGACTCCTGCAGGTAGACACAGAAGCGTTCCTGGGCGCCCAGGGGTGTGTGCCAGGAGCTTCTCAAGCAGCACGTTAGCACCTACCTGGTGGCGGTCAGCCTTTGTCACCTCCTCCACAGGACGCTCACGAGCCACAAAAGATCCTCTGACGGCCTGTGTTGAGGCGCTAGTCCCAGGGCAGGGGTGACGTGGAGCGACCCGAAAGCGCCCGACCCGTGGTGGGTGTGGCTGCGTCACAGACGGGTCTGGGGGGACGCCCAGTGGCGTCCACGAGTCCAGGACGACTTGGGAGCTGTCCACCCAGCGCGGCTCTGTCCAGACGGAGTCCGGGTCCCATCGGTCGGGACTGGGGCCTGAACATGAGTGTTTCTTTTTTTTTTTTTTAAGATTTTATTTTTATTGAGAGAGA